ACAAGTAAACAGTAATGCTATTAATAATCAAAATACAATGAATGAAATACATGGAAAAAATTATGAGAAAAAAAAATATCTATGCTCATAAATATTGTGTATGCGTATATGCACGCTTACATATGTTAGAGAGATTGTGTGCATGTGTGACAGTATCAATGTGTATGTGCGTGACTCATTATTTTGGTTAGTCAACAAACTTTTTTTTTAGCTTTTTATAAGTTTAGTTGTACATTAAGAAATGATTAATTGGTATTTAAAGTGACAGCCAATCTGAAAATGTCAACACAATCAAATTTCGAGCTAATATTATGTTTTGATTCGCTTGATAGTAGCGGTCATTGTCGAAGATAGCACCTTCCGTGGCGGCCGAGCGGCAGCAGAGACGCTGGCTGTCCATTGCGCTTGCTTGTCTTTTGGGTGAGGATTCGAGCCCCTCGTGAGCGCCAAACCGCGGGCGCCTCCGTTCGAACGTTTTTAAAGTACGGCCCATAGTGTTCGTACTGTTGTTTTTCCTTTGTCTTGATCGGCATTCTCCTGGTTACACTTCCTCTTCATTGCCCTCGTCATCGTTATCATGATTATTATGTCATCATTATTACCATTACCCCTATGGCCATTATCCTCCTCCTCCCAGTTATTGTCGTTATTATTACCATTATCATTAAAATTGCCGTCATCATCATTATTACCACTACTAGTACCATCATCAGCACCATCATCATCAGCAGCAGGAACACCATCGCCATCACCACTCTGTCCTCCCCTCTTCTCTCTCACACTCTCCTTCCCTCCCCCTCCCTCCTTTAGATATATTTTACATTTCTCACATATTCCGTTTCCATCTCCTATGTCATGGTTTGCCGAGGAAGTGTTAACATTAAATACCCAAAATGTCGATTATTGCTAATTCATCATGATCACCAGCACAGGAATGACGGCGCTTCTCGATCTATATTTGCTGTGATGTGTTTTTAGCGCGAGGGATTCCTCGAATGCTGTGGTTACTCCCTCCTGCATTGCTGCGTTCGGAATCCCTTATCTTGCTCGTCCGGGTAAGCTGTCAGGACGAGCAAGACAACGAGGTCGCGGTCGGAAGCCTCTGAGGCCTTCATTACCCACAATGCATCCAGCTGTGAAGTTAACATTCGCTGTTTTTTATGCGTGTTTATTTTAGAGTATATAGGTTTATAATTACTCTGATTCACAGGCAACTAAATTTCGGAAGACAAGAACTGAAATAACCCTTGATAACTTCAATTACCATAATCTTCTGATTGCCCACAACTGTCAGTGTTTATATGCACAAATGCGAGTGACGTCATCTCGTCTTGTTCGCCTGGCCGCAAAGAGGGCGAGGAGGACATGAGGAACAACTTGTACCGGACGCCAAAGCAGGGGTTCCCGAGCCGTCGAAACATCTTGTCAAACGTGTTGGAGAAAAGGATTCGAAGGCAAATTAGACATCGTACAGGGACTCCCTCTCTCCTTTTCTCTTTCTCTCTGTATATCATTATCTACCTTCCTCTCTTCCTCCTTGTCTCTAATTTTGCCTTGCTTCTTTCGCTCTACATTGTCGACATCGAAAAAAGAAGAGGTAAAAAAGGCATAATACGTCATATATATTATTTACATTCATTGACTTATTTACCTTATTATTTTTATTATAGATGTCAGTGGCCTTACAAATCACTGAAGTTGTCTTGACTGTGATAATGAAAGTGCCCGACATTATCAGAGTCTTCAAGGAGCTTGGCAACGGGAAGGTGAAACAGGAACACGAGAATCTTGCACAGGTCAGTGGAATAAAAGGAAAGGAAGATGCAAGGGAGGGAGAAGGGAAGGGAAAAGAGAGGGATTGAGGGAAAGAGGGTAAGAGAGAGTAGGGGGGGGGGAGGGAAAGGGGTAAGAGAGCGAGATAAGGGGAAGAGAACAAGAGAAGGGAGGGAAGAGAGATATAGAGGGGGTGGAGAAAGAGAGAGGGGGGAAGAGAGAGAAAGAAAGAGAGAGGGGGAAGAGAGAGAGAGAGAGAGGGGGGGGGTGAGAGAAATGAGAGAAGAAAGAGAGAGAGGGGGGAAGTAAAATTAGAGGAGGGAAGAAAGATTAAGGGAGCGGAACAGAGAGAGGAATATGAAGAGAGAGGAGGGGAGAGGAGGAGGGGAAGAAATAGATAGATAGAGAGAGGGGGGGGTGCAAGAGAGAAAGGGGGTGAAAGAGAAAGGGGAGGGGAAGAGAGAGAAAAAGACGGCAAGAAAAAGGGGAATATAGAGAGGAGGGGATATGTATGTGTGTGTGTATGTATATATACACACATACGTATATACGCACATATGAACACACACGAATATACATATCTATAATTGTGTAAATGTAATTATACATCTAACAGAGTGTGCTTCACTTAACAGGAACTCTGTGCCCTTCGCAAGGAACATGAGAGGGCGTCAAAGACCATTGACGCCCTAGTTGAGGTGAGACAATAATTTCCTATCAATGATGGTCAAAGGTTATATTCACAGAGAGTTCATGTACTTGCATGATGAATCTGTTGTTCTTAAGGACATATGTAAAAGGAACACACCTTTCCCCATTTTCTTTTTGCGTATATTTATATTTTGTTCTGTATCGCCTCCTCCTTCTCCTCCTTTATATTTTCTTCTTCGTCTTCATTTCTTGTCCTTTTTCTCCGCCTTCTCTTCTACCTCTCCCTCTTCTTATTCTTCCTTTTCCTTATCATCCTCGTCTTCGTCTTCGTCGTCCTCTCCCTCTGCCTCCTCCTCCTCCTCGGCCTTCGTTCCTCTACTTTCAGTTCCTCCTTCACTAGCATGAGCTGCAGACAGTTCTCCTTTAAACTTCACCTTAAGAAATAGCTGCGAATGCATTCTCTTATCACTAAATCTACCTTCGTTGTTTTGCAGAGCCAAGAACAATTGAACCAAACACTCCAGCTGCTGACAGAACTGCTGATAGTGCTAAACAGCCTGTCTTCAAGGCCTTGGCCAGATCTGCAAGAGAGCATTCGCGACGTTTTGGGTCAAGGAGGCCTCCACCAGGACTCTGGCGTCCGTGTGAAACGAGGCGAGGAGGCGTTTTCTGTGTCTCTTTGTTCCTATAGTTCCTTCCTTTTTTTCTTTTCTTTTTTTTTTTTTTGCGTTGGTTCATAGGTATGGATATACATTATATGTAATAAAACAAGTACAGTTCAAGAAACAAACAGGCACATGTAATGTATGTACAATACATGCACATTAATAGAAACTTTTTTCGAGGATTTTTTTTATTTATCAGATCAGCATTATTAGGACAGTTCTGAAGACCATGTAATGTACATTTAGAAACATTTACAGCAGCCTCCATATGGTTTGCATCTTTGTAGGTAAATAAAAGTAGCAATAGCATGGTTGTACGTAATGTTTTTTTTTTTATTATTGGAAAAAAGTCAATGCAGATGGCGGAGATAAATCTGTAACGATATGCAAATATCTCCTTTAATCTTTTTTGGGAGGCATTCGCCGCTTGAAAAACAGAATTTGAATAGTACACTTACTCTATCGTTTTATCTTTGGCATATTTTTCTCACAAAAGGAAGAAATACAACAAAAATGTCTTTTTCAGTGCTTCTGAAGAGAATGAATTCCCACTACTGTAACTGTCCTGAGCCATCGACGGCCTATACTTATGTTTCTTTTCCTTTTAGGTACTAATGAAGAATTATAAACTTCAAATTGCTATTTGATAAAAAAAAAAGTATTCAACATTAAAGCAGTAGAAAACTAAAATCCTTAGAACTCAGTAATGCCATGACAGTTAGTTTTACAACCCTTCACGACCAGCTCATTCAATGGCGTAGATAAGATAATGTCCCGGACTTCTTACCGCGAAACAGCAAAAAAGTGTTAGTTACTAATCCAACCGCCTGTCGCCTGCCTGCCTCACCTTCAGTCCGAAGCGCCTTCTTTATTGGCATAATAATCCTATAAAAGAGACTTTTAAGACCATTTTGACCTTGTCCTGCATCGAGCCATATGGGAAAATGCTTTTCACAAGCTCATGACATCGAAAGTCACGACAGTATGTCCCTCCATTATACTGTAATGACTGAGAATGTACTGTCGCTGTCAACCACTCTCTAGTCTTGAACCAACATGAATGTTCGTTAATGGAGAACTGCCAGTATAAAGTTCACGGCATGTATTAAAAGACCCTCGCCTGAAACGCACAAAATCAGACGAAATATGAGGCGACTTAAGGCGCTCTGATAACTGCATGCGAGCTCCACCCGACAGAGGCAAGGGCCATCAACGATCGTCGACTCCGCCTCAAGGGCCTCGCCCCTTTGGGCTCATCCTTAATACGGCGCGGTCGCATTGAGGATGAGCCGAGGTCGGGCACGTCCGTAGCTTCCCACCTTTTGGAAACGCACGAAGATCACCCCCAGAGGCCTCGTCTTGCGGAGACTCCTTTCGGCTGCAGTTCCCCCTGGCAGATTGACCTGCCTGTGGCGCCCAGCCAGTCTACCGCGTTAATAGGCGAACCGCGTCATGTTTCCAGACTGGCAGCGCTATAGATAACACATATTGTCCCAGCCGGTTCAGTTGCGACGTTTGCTTGGTGACGCCACGTTCTTGGGCACCTGCCCCCTTGATAATAATCGATGGTCCAGCCGCTCGTGGGGATGTATTGCAGGGCCATAACTTATTGCGCAGCGTTATCAGGTCGTCGAAAGGATAATGATAATTATATCGGTCACAACCACTTTCTGTCCAGTAGCTCATATATATATATATATATATATATATATATATATATATATGAGTGTGTATGTGTGTGCGTGTGTGTGTATTATGAATATGGAAGTATGTAAAGTATAGAAAGAGAAACAGTTAATTAACAGAGCGAAATGAGACCAGGCAGAAACTGTGGGCTAATATACAGGACACCGTGTTTTGCAGGCTCCCTCAGGGCTAACCTGTGCAGTCTGCAGGTCGACCTACAACGCGCACGATCGTCGTCCGCTTATCTTCTCCAGCTGCGGCCACACCTTCTGCGAGGAATGCCTTAGTAAGGTTTCTGTTGTTTGTCTTTCTGTGAAATCTGTGTTTGGCTTAATGTCTGGTTTCTTTCCTGGTTTGTGCTTCTTTGTTTTATTTTTTTTTATTTATTATTTATTATTTTTTGTTTGGCGTTGCGTTGTGTCTTTGTTTTCAGTGTCTTGGTGCCTCGTTTTTTTGTTTGTTTTATTTCTGCAATAATTAATATGTTGCTGTAAGAGAAGATACAACGGGTGACAGGGTAAAATATACATATATGTGTGTTTGTATGTGAAATAACGTTTAAATGAATGAATAAATGAATAAGTAGATGAATAAATAGATACATACGTAGATAGAATAGATAAGAATATCTTAGAAATAATAAATTAGAAAAATGTAGATAAATAAGTGAAATGAATAGATAGATTTAGAGAAGGCTTAATGAGTAAATGGAAAGGCAATGAAAATCTTTCCTTCAAGGGACGGAAACCGCAAGAGTGTGTTCCGGCCCTTCTTGCCGGCAGGACCGCGACCAGTTCACGCTGAAGCCTAACTTCGCGCTGCTCGACCTGCTCGAAGCGGTACGTGATTTTCTTTTTTTAATGTATTTGTGCGTGTATGTATGTGTGTGTTTGTGCGTGTGTGCGTATGTATGTGTGTGCGTGCGCGTGTGTGTATGTGTGTTCGTGTGTGTGCTCATGTGCGTGGGTTGGTTAGTGCATGTGAAATTAACCGTGGCTAATGGAAAGAGGTCCTTCCCAGAGGAGAGTCCAGGAGACCAGGGACGACGAAGACGACGAAGACGACCTCAAGAAGGGTCTCCGCATGGACGACGACGACCTGCTCTCCCTCGCCCTCCACATGTCCGCACAGGAGGCCGAGAACAAGGAGTACAGGCGTCAGGTCGCCGCCTTACTCGCGCGAGAGCCCGCTGGGGCCGGCGACGTCCCCGGAGCGGAGGGCGGCTGGCAGGAGGAGGCAGAGGGGCGTCCGGGGAAGGAGAAGCTTACTGCCAT